TGATCTGGTTGGTCTGGATCTATAAACCTGACATGATGTGAATTGGAGCTATAGAAATAAACTGAATAGAATTGAGGCACTTTTTTTTTCAGAACTGAAAACATGTGATTTCTAGAAACATCAATCAATCATCAGATCCATTAAAATCGGTTTATAGAAGGTTCTCTGTGATGGAGGCTTCTGGTCGATGGCGTCTCCAGCTTTGCAAAGCATCATGGGTAAGGTTGAACAGGCAGGCAGTGGATGGAGGAGCCATCTGGATGTTCTGCTGGGACCGTCTCACCCTGAGCCACCACCGTGCTTCACTGTAGAGCTCAGATCCCCCCCCCCCGTGGATCAGATTAACGACATCAACAGATTCTTGTCACCAGTTTTTATTTCAATTAGTTTGCCAAAAATATATAGATTTATTTTTCCACTCACACTGAAAGGCAGCTGTTCCCTTTGACCCCCCCCCTGACAGGGTGGGGGGGGGAGTTGAACAACAAACTACTAAATAAACCTGATGACCCCCCCCCCCCCAAACAAACAAACCCAGGAAATAAATTAGGAACATTTTAAAGATGCAGTTAGATTGTTGATGCTAATAGGAGGAGAGGTGTTAGCGTAGCAGGAAGGACCTGATGGTTCTGCTGTTTGATCTGATTCCACTGGAACACAGTGAGAACACGCCGCCTCTAAACCAGATTATACCTTCTGCAGCGTTTCAACTCTAAACGATCAAAACTTTTCATCATTTCTATCTAATCGGCTTCTTTCCTGCTTCAGAAATCCCTGATGAGACGAAGAGGAGCGCCGGGACCGGAGCCGGGGGCTGGGACCGGAGCCGGGGGCCGGGACCGGAGCCGGGGGCCTGGACCGGAGCCGGGGGCCACCATGAGTGAGTGAGAAGATCTAAATCTGCTCTCAGACCTGAAGCCTCCAGGTCTCCCTGATCCTCAGTGGAATAAGATGCTTTAATAGTCAGTCCGTCTGAAGCAGAGCCGCTGCTCCTCCTCCTCCTCCTGCTCCTCCTCCTCCTCCTGCTTCGCCTCCTCCTCCTGCTGCTGCTCCTCCCTCTGCTGCTCCTCCCTCTGCTTCGCCTCCTCCTGCTGCTGAACTGGAAGCAGATTATCTTGTTTTAAGGAAACTTTAAATCTGTTTTTCAGCCCAGAAATGTCTAAAACAGCTTCCCTAGCAACGCTGCGTTGCTATGGACGCTCAAAAATCCCTGTTATGGTAACATGATCCCCCATAATGCACCTGGGGGACGTTTTCCCTTTTGTTCTCATGATCAGTCCATCTGACGGCGTTTTCATATTTGAGGCATGAAGGAAAAACCAGAAGCCAAACCCTGAAGGTCCTTTAAGTGCTAGAAAAACGCTAGAAAAAGCTTTAGAAAAATAAACACTGAGGTTACTGAGCGGCCGCCGGTCGGAGCGGCGGCCGGTCGGAGCGGCGGCCGGTCGG